ACGATATGTACTATTGCACATAAAAGATGCCGCCACAAAAAATGTCACAGGTTACCTATGGCATTTTTTGGGGGACATGTTTTACGTACAATACCACCGACCACCCCCCCCCCCCCCCCCCCCTTACCTTGTAAAACAAGTTATACTCACCAAAGTCTGCCATTCGGGTCCCTCGCCGGTGTCATTTCTGGGTGCAATGGGGATGACTGCTAATCCAGTGCTGCAGGTGCCCCCGGCAGTCCCGCGCCCTGACGTCAATACTAATGCTGCTGGACAGCCAATAGGAAGCGTCCACATCATGCAGCCAGTGACACGGACACCTGAAGAAGGTCCCCGCCTGATGTAAACAATAGAGGGGAGAAAGCCCGGGCCTGGAGCATCATGTGACCGCAGCTTTCGGTGGGGGGAAAAGGGGCAAATCAGAGAAGGGGATGGTGTGTGTGTTAAACCAACTCACTTTTAACACAACAACACAAGGTGACACAATACTGTGCGTTGCTTCAACAATAACATGCGCAGGAGCCATTTTCGGCCCGTGTCGTGCATGGCAGCCTACAATACAAAATCTCCTGCACTCCATACAGCGTACAGACCTTGGATGGAAGGTTGGTGCTTGAAGTGACAACACGGATGGCGCCGTGTCAGAAACAGCCCATAATAGAAGTATCCAGCACTGGACGATGATGATGACGGAGTGCTGGTGACTTCTATTATGCATGGCAGTCGTACATATCTTCCTGAAACCCTCACAGTACCCCTCTCACGAGCCCTCAGTCCTGATGCAAGCAGTGGGTGGGTTCCTGGGAGGAGTTATGCAAATACCATAATGCCTTAATGGGTGGATGTCAGTCTGGAGTAGTGGGCGTTTCTAAGCAGACTATATTTGCATGCAGACCACCCTAAGTAACGCCCACATGTGATGCCAAACCTCCATGATTGAAGGAACTAAAAGTCAATGAATGAAAGGGGCGGGGCCAGAGACAGTAAGGCTGGGGAGAAATGCGGTAGAGGATGCTGGATGTGTCCTCCAGCCAGGAAATGGGGCGGAGCTCTATCTGAATTGCTGCAGCTTCTAATGCACATTGTGAGAAGCTCCTAGTGTGCAGTGACATCAGAGGAAGAGGAGTCGGTAGAACTGTGCAAGACTGAAGGGAAGGACAGAGGTGAGATAGAAGACTGAAGAGAAGGACAGAGGTCAGATAGAAGGCTGAAGGGGAGAACGGAGGTCAGATAGAAGGCTGAAGGGGAGGACGGAGGTCAGATAGAAGACTGAAGGGGAGGACAGAGGTCAGATAGAAGACTGAAGGGGAGGACAGAGGTCAGATAGAAGACTGAAGGGGAGGACAGAGGTCAGATAGAAGACTGAAGGGGAGGACAGAGGTCAGATAGAAGACTGAAGGGGAGGACAGAGGTCAGATAGAAGACTGAAGGGGAGGACAGAGGTCAGATAGAAGACTGAAGGGGAGGACAGAGGTCAGATAGAAGACTGAAGGGGAGGACAGAGGTCAGATAGAAGACTGAAGGGGAGGACAGAGGTCAGATAGAAGACTGAAGGGGAGGACAGAGGTCAGATAGAAGACTGAAGGGGAGGACAGAGGTCAGATAGAAGACTGAAGGGGAGGACAGAGGTCAGATAGAAGACTGAAGGGGAGGACAGAGGTCAGATAGAAGACTGAAGGGGAGGACAGAGGTCAGATAGAAGACTGAAGGGGAGGACAGAGGTCAGATAGAAGACTGAAGGGGAGGACAGAGGTCAGATAGAAGACTGAAGGGGAGGACAGAGGTCAGATAGAAGACTGAAGGGGAGGACAGAGGTCAGATAGAAGACTGAAGGGGAGGACAGAGGTCAGATAGAAGACTGAAGGGGAGGACAGAGGTCAGATAGAAGACTGAAGGGGAGGACAGAGGTCAGATAGAAGACTGAAGGGGAGGACAGAGGTCAGATAGAAGACTGAAGGGGAGGACAGAGGTCAGATAGAAGACTGAAGGGGAGGACAGAGGTCAGATAGAAGACTGAAGGGGAGGACAGAGGTCAGATAGAAGACTGAAGGGGAGGACAGAGGTCAGATAGAAGACTGAAGGGGAGGACAGAGGTCAGATAGAAGACTGAAGGGGAGGACAGAGGTCAGATAGAAGACTGAAGGGGAGGACAGAGGTCAGATAGAAGACTGAAGGGGAGGACAGAGGTCAGATAGAAGACTGAAGGGGAGGACAGAGGTCAGATAGAAGACTGAAGGGGAGGACAGAGGTCAGATAGAAGACTGAAGGGGAGGACAGAGGTCAGATAGAAGACTGAAGGGGAGGACAGAGGTCAGATAGAAGACTGAAGGGGAGGACAGAGGTCAGATAGAAGACTGAAGGGGAGGACAGAGGTCAGATAGAAGACTGAAGGGGAGGACAGAGGTCAGATAGAAGACTGAAGGGGAGGACAGAGGTCAGATAGAAGACTGAAGGGGAGGACAGAGGTCAGATAGAAGACTGAAGGGGAGGACAGAGGTCAGATAGAAGACTGAAGGGGAGGACAGAGGTCAGATAGAAGACTGAAGGGGAGGACAGAGGTCAGATAGAAGACTGAAGGGGAGGACAGAGGTCAGATAGAAGACTGAAGGGGAGGACAGAGGTCAGATAGAAGACTGAAGGGGAGGACGGAGGTCAGATACAAGACTGAAGGGGAGGACGGAGGTCAGATATAATGGACCCTATGCCCGTGTCATGCATTTAAAGGAATAGACCAAATCAGTAAGGTGAAGGAGTCCAAGATTGAAGTGGCTTTTAGTGGTGGAAGCATTTGGCAGCACTGGAGTATAAAAGAATACACAACAGACTTAGACCCGGGTGGTGGGGATAATGAAACCCTCCGCAGGTCAGGTATGAGGCCAGCAACCCATCATTGTGGATGGGAGTTCCGTCAATGATTTGACCGATATACATCCGTCACAAGTTCTCGTGAAAATGGCCCGATACCCAAAACCGATACCGGCACTTTACATTTCCCATAAGGTCAGGTGCTTGCCGCGGACTTTTGTAGCAGCCTTTTTGGGAGCAACGTGACGCCTGTTTACAGCACTGACCCGCACATCTCCCCCCCCTTCTGAGACCCTCCGCAGCCCTCCTGAGACCCCCTCAAAGCCCTCCCCACACCCTTCACCTAAAATATCGGGCCAGCACCCCAGAGCAGAGCGGCAACCGAGCCCTGGCACTCCACCACGGTCCTAAAATCTGTACTGTCACATGACTCTAAAAAAAAAGGTATTGGTAATTGGTATCGGCGAGTACTTGTGGAGAAGGATGGGTACTCAGTCTATCGGTGCATTCCTAGTGTATATATATTTATAGATCATTTTTAAAAATGATGGCTCTGCTTTTCTCGTCAGCGAAGTGACAATGACGGTTCCTTTATCTTATGTGTGACTGATGTGGTTCCAGGTGCTGTGCAAACTACAACCCTCCCCGCTCCAGAGGCGCTTTGTTGTGGTCGCTCAGTCTCCGGCTCACCCCCCATAATAACAGATCCGGAGGTTGGGCTGCTCTCCGAAAATGTTCACAAACTGAATTATAGATCATTCGTATCATCACTTATCCTATAAACACATCAATCACAGGCCCCTCCCTCTTCCTATGCCAAGCTCCCTGGGCTTTGAGAATGATCCCATATGACAGGAGACAGGGGATGGGAGGGGGGGCAGTTTTTAAGTTTTGCATGTTCCAAGTACACACACGCATGGACAACTTCAATACACAGATCGCTTTTGTTTCCTTACATTTCATTTTTATTGACTGCGATTGCTTTAAAGTACAATGTCAGCCAAGCTGACCTCCGTCCCCTCCCCTTCAGTCTTCTATCTGACCTCCGTCCCCTTCAGTCTTCTATCTGACCTCCGTCCCCTTCAGTCTTCTATCTGACCTCCGTCCCCTTCAGTCTTCTATCTGACCTCCGTCCCCTGCCCTTCAGTCTTCTATCTGACCTCCGTCCCCTGCCCTTCAGGTCTTCTATCTGACCTCTGTCCCCTGCCCTTCAGTCTTCTATCTGACCTCCGTCCTCCCCTTCAGCCTTCTATCTGACCTCCGTCCTCCCCTTCAGTCTTCTATCTGACCTCCGTCCTTCCCTTCAGTCTTCTATCTGACCTCCGTCCCCTGCCCTTCAGTCTTCTATCTGACCTCCGTCCCCTGCCCTTCAGTCTTCTATCTGACCTCCGTCCCCTGCCCTTCAGTCTTCTATCTGACCTCCGTCCCCTGCCCTTCAGTCTTCTATCTGACCTCCGTCCCCTGCCCTTCAGTCTTCTATCTGACCTCCGTCCCCTGCCCTTCAGTCTTCTATCTGACCTCCGTCCCCTGCCCTTCAGTCTTCTATCTGACCTCCGTCCCCTGCCCTTCAGTCTTCTATCTGACCTCCGTCCCCTGCCCTTCAGTCTTCTATCTGACCTCCGTCCCCTGCCCTTCAGTCTTCTATCTGACCTCCGTCCCCTGCCCTTCAGTCTTCTATCTGACCTCCGTCCCCTGCCCTTCAGTCTTCTATCTGACCTCCGTCCCCTGCCCTTCAGTCTTCTATCTGACCTCCGTCCCCTGCCCTTCAGTCTTCTATCTGACCTCCGTCCCCTGCCCTTCAGTCTTCTATCTGACCTCCGTCCCCTGCCCTTCAGTCTTCTATCTGACCTCCGTCCCCTGCCCTTCAGTCTTCTATCTGACCTCCGTCCCCTGCCCTTCAGTCTTCTATCTGACCTCCGTCCCCTGCCCTTCAGTCTTCTATCTGACCTCCGTCCCCTTCAGTCTTCTATCTGACCTCCGTCCTTCCCTTCAGTCTTCTATCTGCACAGTTGTAACACCTCCTCTCCTGGGCTAAAATTGCTTCGTCTGATATCACTGCACACTGTGAGAAGCTCAGCATCATCTAGTTCTTTCCTCCCCAGCCTGACTGTCCCTGGCCCCGCCCCCTTCCATTCATTCATTGGATTTCAGTTCTTTCAATCATGGAGGCTCATCATCACATGTGGGTTGTCTGCATGCAAACACTGCCTGCCTAGGAGCGCCCACTCCTCCAGACTGACAACCCGCCCACCAAGGCATTTGTACATTTGCATAACTCCTCCCAAGAGCCAGCCCCCTGCTTCCCTCTGAGGCAGGGTGCTGTCACTTTTCTCTCTCCTACTATGAGCATGTTCACTGCATGTCCATGAACTAATTAACCCCTTGTACTGCTTCTCCCATCCCCTCCCGGAGCTCTGCTGTACAGGGAAATGCAAGATGCTGATACAGAGTCAGCTTTAGGTACTCACACCGCTTGTATTTAAACTAAATACATTGACTGAATGCAAAGCTGCATTATGTGTGTCTTTTATATCCGTCTAGCTCAGTGGTTCTCAACCTGTGTAACCTCAGGACCCACATTTGTCCTTGGCCATTAAGTCGTGACCCAAGTCGTAACGCAATGGAACGCAGTGTGGGTTGCTGTGACGGAGTTCCATCCATATGTGCATTGCTTGTACAGCTCCCTTGCATGCCCTGCAGAGGTGCCGGGAGACAGAATGTGATGTCACTCCGGTACAGGGTGCGCGAGGGAGCTGCAAGCAATGAACGTAGGGATGGAGCTCCCTCGCTGTGGAAGGCGCACGGGGACCCACTGAACAAGAGGTCGCGACCCACCAGTTGAGAACCAAGGGTCTAGAGTTCTGCTCCAAGTGGTAATGTTTAGCGAGGTATAAAGAAGATGGAGGCAGCCCACACTGTGCTTGTAATGGGGCATTTTTATTTACACCATACTGGGAAAAAACTGATAACAAAAAGCTGATCCAATAATCAGGAACAATCAATAACGGGAAAACAAAAAGTGCAAAATCTGTGCTCCGGCGGCACGGACACTTCATCTCTACCGCGCCCTCCTCTGCCAGGGCTGCCAACAGGACACTAGTATGTGCGATCCCACATGGTGTCAATGGGAGGACGATGATGATGAAGATGACGACGGCCTGAGCGGACTGTGCCGGGGCGGCACTTTGGTGAAACGGCAAGATAGAACGGTGTTACTACACAGCCGGGTACCGTCCAATCTAACATGTACAATACTGGCCTGAATGTGGACTCAAACTGGGACTCGTAACCCACCTGACCCCAGGACTCCATCTTCTCTATAGGCTAGGCCAGGGGTAGGCAACATCCACAGTCCAGCTGGGCGGAAACCATAAATCCCATCATGCATCTGCCTCCGGGAGTCTAAAGGTGCCCATACACTGCACGATTTTCGTACGAGAATCGCGATCGTACGAGAATCGAGCAGTGTGAACGGAGAAGTGCGACCGTTTCTACTGTACGGTCGCACGTCTTTTGTCTAAGGAGCACGCCAGAAAACCAGCCAAAAATCTTAAGATTTTCGGCTGGTTTGAACGGTGCTCGGGAGACAAATGCCGCACGGGCCTGTGTGCGCAAGAGCACACTGCCCGTTCAGCATTGCGGTCATCGGAAGCCCGCCCCTCAGAGGGGGCGCGGCTTACGATGATCGCAAGTACGATCTGCCTGTCCAAGATAGGCAGATCGTACGTTTTTTTTATTACTTTACAACCCTCGCAAGACTAAGGTCTTGCGAGGGTTGTAAAGTGTATGGCCACCTATACCTGTGGCTGTCAGAGTCTCGCAATGTATCGTGGGACTTGGAGTTTCACAACAGCTGGAGTGCCGAGGTTGGCTACTCCTGGGCTATGGAAAATCTATTGCCAAGGTGGGAGGCGGCAGAACACAGAACAGTAACACACATTATACATTTAGGTTAAAAATCAAATCTAGTACAACACAAAATAATCAGCTTCCATCCTTCATTATCAAAGCTTCACTCAACAAACTAAAGAGAAGCTGGTTGGTTACTATGGGCTCCAGATTTGATAAATTCCCCTCAGTGATGGGACATTTAAAATCACAGCTATACGAATGTACAGTGAGGCTAGCTTCACACCTGCACGACACACGGGACGCGCGTCCTGGGATCGCGCTGTTGTGTACAATGCAGGCAGCGATTGCAGCGCGGCCCCATTGATTTCAATGGTGTGACATCCACGCGGCAATTGCAGAAAAACTTCTGTTTTCCGTGTTCGGAAGCACGGACCGAATCGTGGCGGGAAACCGCGCGATCCGCCCGCCGCGACTGGGGTGCCATTAGAAAAAAAAATGGCACCAACAGAGCGATCGGTTCACACCTTGGCGATTCTTGACTGTGTGGCAATCTGCGCGGAATGGTGCACGATTGCCGCACGGTGAGGTGTCGCCTAGGTGTGCACCCAGCCACCCAGCCTCATTCTCTAAACCTCATAAACCATTTCTATCAATTTGTCCTGAAAAAGCAAAGCTGTCTATTGGAAGCCTGGGTGACAACAGTCCCGTTGGTATTGGGGGCACGGACCTTCCGTTATCAGGCTAGAGGAAGCAGGCAATGGACTACAAATGCTGTGACATCACCGCTCTTCTCTCAGTGTGATCTGCACCTTCCTCTCTCACTGGGGCCGGAGTTGTCCTGCTCACCGATCCCTATGAATGGATGAGGCACCTGTACAGGCAGAGCCGCGGACAGCCGTGTAACATTCAATAAGGTATAGAATGTGCAAGGAGAAGCACCCCATGATTCAGGTAAGCTGGGGGGGGGGGGGTGAACTGCCCCCAGTTTTACGGTGAGGGGGGGGGGGGGGGTTAACTTATGCAACCATGTTTCACGGTACATCCCTACAGATAGGGGAAGCACACAGTCTGAAAGGTGCACAATGCCTTTGAAGCAGAATGCCGGGCTGTAGACAGGGATGCACTTTTAGCTCCCTCATCCCTATTCATATACAAAATGCTAGAACTGTAAAAAAAAAAAATAAGTCAAGGCAACTGGACTCGCTGAATTTATCTTGAAGACGTTTCACTGGTCATCCAACCAGCTTTCTCACCGTCTTCAAGAAAAATACAGCGAGTCCAGTTGCCTTGACTTATTTTTTTTACAGCTATACCATGTGACCTGGAGAACCTTCCCAGACAAAATGCAGTTTTTCATTTGCATCTCACTTTTTCATGCTGCTTCTGCCTCGTGACGTCATCGCATGCTACCTAAGACTACACTGTGGCTGGACTCCTGGGGGAGGGTCTATGGAGGAGCCACATGTCGGTCCTTATCTGGGGTAAGTGAGAACTACAAGTCCCATGAATCAATGAGAAACGCAATGATGTTGTGGGTGTGAATGTGGCAAGTGTCAAAATGTGTTAAATGCCCACGTAGCTGACAATCAATGCCTGTGGACTGGCACAACCATGTGCTGTGCACATTGTACCCACCTGCTGAGGGATGCATGACATAAGCATGTAACTGCTCCCCAATATACACTACGCAGAGGAGGAAATGCGACCGGGAGCCATTCACCATAGAGAACCTGGCAGCTGGCTGGCTCCCAGACTGGTCCCTTCAGCCTCCCTCCACCTTCCGCATCCAGCGAAGGCGTCCTCATGTCCAATACAGTGTATGACTCGCAGGACCTTAGACCTCTGGAGCGGAGGAGGAAAGAGGCTGTAGGGACCAGACCAGCAGCAAGGCGGCTGAGAGGTTCAGGAGAGAATATCTGTTATTTTCAACCCCAGATTAAAATGAGCAGTTAACCCTTGCAGTGCGGGGGTCGCCCCACTGCAAGGGTTAAGAATATTTCTGCCCGGAGTGCTTCTTTAAAATGCGATTGGTTGCAATTACAGCACCGAACCTGGTCAACTAAGTCAGCAAGAATTAAAAAGACATTTCTGCTTACCCGTTCCTGTCCGTTGGCTGTCCTACTAACATCTCCGAACCTCAGGAAGGCCTCGGCTGACACATCCTCGAAGCTGGCAGGTGGAGGGGGAGTGTATGGCCCGTGCGTGGGCAATGGAGGGGGAACCTCCTCGTGGACCGTGCTCTCCTGTGTGGCCCCATCCGCCGTTCCCTCATCCTCCTCCTCCGTGTCAGAAGGCAGGAAGGAGAATTTGGAGCGCTGTTCCTTTAGAAGAGCCTCGATACGAGAGTCCAGACTGCTGCTGTGTTGTGTGAACGGTAGGCTCTCCGAAACGCCGTCCGGGAGCGGGGAGCAGGAACGCGCTGGGGACGGGGGAGGAGAACAGGCCGGGAGTGGGGGAGGTGGAGGAGGCGGCTCCCAGCTCTCGGTAGGTGGCGGCGGGGGCTGCAGTAGAGAGGAAGATGGTGGAGACGGAGGAAGTGGAGGGTGCAGTCGATAGTCCCGGTCGATTTGAGGATCGTCTGGTGGGAGTGGCGGAGGTGTAGGCAGGGGAGGAGTCCCAGGAAATCGGTGTAAAGGAGGTTCCTCTGGAGGCGGGGGCGGTTTCCGGTGGCGTGACCGGTAGGACTGTGGGGAGGTTCGATGTTGGTGTCTGTGGTGTCGGCGGTAGCTGCTGTCGTGCTGCGAGGAAGATGAGGAAGCTGAAGAGTAGTGGTGTCCAGAGCGTCGTGAATAAGAGTCGCCAGAGCTGTTCTCCGGTCGCCGTGACTTGTATCCTGAGGTGTCATGGGTACTGGAATGGCTGGGGGTACTCTGCCTGTGGGACAAACAGCCAATCAGAAACACTCCTTACATAATCATCACCTTAGCATTGCCCCCATAGATTAAAACCCAACTCTAGGCCCAGGTATTATTATTTCTCCTTATTTGTTAGTACATCGGGAGCTGTCTGAGGTCATCTGAGAGCTTCTGATATGTACAGCATGGATACGCACGTCCATCTCCCGCTGCATACTATACGGTATTTTGCCCCCTTATTGATTTAATACATTATATCTATACTAGGGATGCACCATTACTGATACTAGTATTGGTGCTGATACCGAGTAGTTATGACCCGCCTCCCTGATTGGCTAAGAAGCCAGCTTCATGTGTTGCTAAGCAGTGTGGCTTCCTAACCAATCAGGAAGCCGAGTGGCACGTAATGACCTGCCTCTCGGCTTCCCGATTGGTCAGGAAGCCACGCTGCCTAGAAATAAGTGAAGCAAGCTTCCTAGTCAATTAGGAAGCCGGGAGGCGGGTCATGACGTGCTGCCCAGCTTCCTAATTGGCTAGGAATCCGGCTTCACTTGTTGCTTTGTCAGCCTGGCTTCACTTGTTGCTAGGCACCTCAAGACTCGCCGCCCAGCTTCCCGATTGGTCAGGAAGCCAGGCAGCCCCTGAAGCCTTTCCCTAGAATACCAGCTTCACAGGCAATCAGGAAGCCGGGTGACGGGTCATGATACGCCGCCCGACTTCCTGATAATCAGGGCACAATGCACCGGTACTCGGTATCGGCGAGTACCGAAAAAAAAAAACCCATCAGCGTAATATTTCTTTGTTCCGCACACCACCTGATCTTCAAATAATAAATCCAATCTTTAAATGTCATCCAATAGTGCATACCACAGAAATGCTCCCCAATACAGCAAGAGTCCTGTTACGCGTTTCACCGATTAGGATTAATCGTATTGTTACTGCTGATAATACTTCTTATTTTTATTATATTTCAAACATTTTCTAACAACTAAGCTTGTCAACTTAAATTTTTACAAATAGTATCGGATGTTACAGCTCACAATGATAGTACCAGAAGTGCTACAAAACCTTTCATCATTATTACCCCTTACAATGCCCCCTGTGGAAGGAGAATGCTGCCGTACCTGCTGGAATAGGCGGAGTCCTGAGAGTAGGGGGTACCGGACCTGGGAGTGTACGGGGTGCCCTGCGAGGACAGGGTCGGCGTGTACTGGTTGTACAGAGATCCGGAATCTTGAGACGACGGGGTTCCGTTTCCAGGTAGAAGAGTGGTGTCGCTGGACAAGCGCCTTCGGCCGTCAGCCTGGAGACACAACACAGATTATTACAGTCAGCGAGCACCTGATCCTAGGAGGACGGAGCTGGGAAAGTGCTCTAAAGATCACGTTGAATCTAATATTGTGCCTTCCCTGGTTCCGCCCCCCTCCCCTCTTCAACATGCTAATCACATTTTGATATAAGACGCTTTCATGTGGGGCGTTGGCACCCCATTTATCACTCATCCGCATAGTTCGAGCCGACGTGCGACAATGAAACTGTCACACGTCAGTTCAATGGATCGGGAGGCGAGTGGACGCCTCCCTGCAGAGAGCGGTGACTGTCACTCTCCGCTCCCTGCAGGGATTCCCCCCCTCCCCGCTCCGATCCTCCAGCGCTGACTGGCGGAACAGATGGGGGAGGGGGCGGGCACAGTTGGCTCTGCCACTAGATAGGCAGAGCCGGCTGTCGCTCACGCAGCTGGGTGGATCACGACAGTATTGTCTGGATCCGTCCCGGCTGCGGCGTCTCAGTATACTGCGAGCTGCAGCTCGTGATATACTGAGCTTTGAGTCACGGGAGGACACTTACCCCATAGTTCTCTTATAACCCAATACGTGTGCATTAATGCACCACAACGGAGCACTCGAGTGTGAATGGACCCTTACTCTTGTGTACCCCATCTGGGAAGATATCATCTTGTTTCCTCTCGTGTTTCAGAAACAGGAAGAGAAAAGGAAAATCTTTCTAACTGGAACCCAGACAGTACTAAATCCTGAACAATTCCTACCCTACAAAACAAAAAGGTTTGGTTGGAGTGTCTCGTTATACAAGACCCACAAGCTCCTGCACACGAGCAGCCAGGCGTGACGTGTGAAGGTCACTAGCCCTGCGTAAGGTCCGATAGACCAATACAAAAAACGTACAAACGCGCGC